AATTACACCGAACATAATCTAATTAATGAATTCCAACTGTAAGTATTTGAGTGTATAGATAATGCTATGTAATGTCATCTCTTATTTCAGAACCTACAGCGAAATATTTCTCTGATCAGTTCTGCGGCAAAGTCGTCAAAACTTTTCATTGCTTGATAATGAACGTATAACAAAGTTGCAGAGTTCACTTCGATATGTCATTTACAGAACGTGTGCTAGACTAGTTCAAATATCTTCAGACTACTCTATTCTTCAGTGTGATGAAGGATCGATAAAAGAAAGACAAAATTCTATCTATAATATTTGCGTAGTCAGGAGTGTCTAGCTGGAACTGGTGAAATCAGAGAGTTGAGGCTAAATATACTGAGAAGCTAACTGAGACTGATGAAATCCAGAGAGAAAAGAGATCGAGAGTGAAATGTTCTTTTCACTTGAATATAAGTTGTTGTTAAATGTAAGTGATTGAGGATTGAGATGGCTGATGAAGAAGTAAGCGTTGTTGTAGGTAGGCACTGCTGATGAAGGAATTTATTGGTTGATATTAGAGTAAATAAGAAGAAACAGTTGAGATGAGTAGGTATTTGCGGTGTAAAGTGAATGTGTTATGAGCGAATAGCGTAGGATATCGCTAAAAATGTTCTCCGTTTAAAATCGTTGAGCAAAGATTGTTAAAGCACATCATCAGCGAGCCTCATCCGCAGTCCGCTCGATTGTATCGCTCCTGTTCGTGTGCTCAGATCTTCAAAACAACAGCTCCTTTCAACGTCTTCATTCCTTCACTTTAAAGTACTCGATTAATTATGGTAAGTATATACGAATTATACGTTACTTTGTATTATTTTATACCATATACAAATATGCATCTTTATCCATATTCTAAAATCCACATCCATACAAATCCATATCCTCATTAATACATCACATTGACGTCTTTTTGCTGGATTCATCATTGCATTGTTATTATTGTGATTATTCGCGATTAATTATCCTGAAAAAAAANGAATACTGCAAATCTATTATCCTAAAAGTATTTAATTTATGTTGATGTGTTTTCACAGTCATTTCAAATGAGCTATTTTGTTTGTTACGTGATGTTTTGTTGATTACAACTAAATCACTTCTTTATGAATCTAGTCGAAGGCCGCTAAGAAGAAGTCGAGCAAGAAGCGATCTGGATCCGAAGCCGCACAGTTCGATCAAAAGACAATTCAAGAGTTCAAAGAAGCTTTCGGTATAATGGATCAGAACAAGGACGGCATAATCGATAAGAACGACTTGAAAGATTTGTATGCTTCAATGGGACAAATCGCTTCAGATTCACAAATCGACGCGATGATCAAGGAAGCACCAGGACCGATCAATTTCACTGTATTTTTAACACTGTTCGGTGAACGACTCACTGGTACGTTGCATTAAGATGTGCCACTGCAGTTTAGTTGAAAGTATATCCCTTTGGTTTCATGATGCTCATGTTTAAAATAATTGAATTCATGTGGTGGATGCCCAGTGGGATAACTTCGTTGTAGCAATTAAGGATTATCGCAGTAATAGAGTAATATCATCGTTAAGCAGTAAAAAATCAGCTAAGTAAATCATTCCAGGTACGGATCCTGAAGCAACGATAACCGGTGCATTCCAAATGTTCGACAAGAAAGAATGCGGAAAGATTCCCGAAGATGAGCTCGTCAAAATTTTGCAGAACAAACGAGGAGAGCCATTGGATGACGACGAAATCAAGGCGATGTATAAGGTATTTATTATCTCAATGATTGTTCCTTCATCGTTCATTCATTCATAAAAGAGCGTTGCTTGTGAAAAGATGCAGGCAGCATTGTCATCCAATTTCACCATCGTCAAATGAATTGTTTCAGGGCAAACCACCAATAGACGGCGGTATGGTTGATTACAAAGCGTTCGCACATCTGATTTGCACAGGTGCACAAGAGGAACTGGCTCAAGCCTGAACCACTACAACACAAGCACATTATCAGTACTATCGTGCACGCGAACAACGTGAATATGCCGCATCTAAACGGCACAAACATCCTCTGCAAACAACAACAATAAATGATCTTCTCTCATCACCACTGAATATAATACGCCTAAGGGCGCTCTTGCTGTCGGATTACAGAATGCTCGTTCATTCCTCTCATAAAGCCTCCTTTTCCGAACACTTTCTTCTCAATTCATTCTCGTCAATCCTCACCCTTCTTCACCCCTCAAAAACGACTCATGCGTTCTTTTTCGTTCCTTTCCACCAGTCAGTTATTTCAAAAATCA